AGTGTGTTTAAATAGGGTGCAACCCCTTGAAACTAGGACTTCATCCAGACAGGTGGACTCATCGAGTCCCAGCGTATGGACTCATTGAGTAGCTAGCTTAAATCGCGTGATCATCCCATCTATACTCGACGAGTTGGGCTACAGACTCGTCGAGTACCCTTAAGAAATGAAGATACTGTATTTAAATCACATACCAGAAATGGGTAGTTACACTATATCTACTTTATTCTTTGTAGTCTTTATACCTTTCATTGAGAACCCTTGTAATTTCTCTTTATTATAATAATATGAAAATGTTATCATGGTATTAATTCCTGCTTTGATACGTTGTTAGAAGCCTTTGTAGCAGATGGTATTCGTTGTTGGTTGTTGTTGATTCATTGTTTTTGGTATTCGTTGTTGATGTGTTTTTTGTTGGTGAATTTCATTTGTTTTTATTATTGATTTGTTGTTGATGTTCGATTTCTTATTTCCCGGTTGATTGCTTCTGCTGGTTTGTTATTCCTCTTATTCTCAGATTGCTATACTGTTATTGTGGCTATTTATTCATTGGCAACATGACTGGAAAGGATGATTCCCTTCAGTCAGTCAGTACTCATTTGGATGGAAAGAATCATACGCATTGGAGTTATGTTATGAAGAACTTCCTTTGTGGGAAGAATATGTGGGGCTATGTCACTAGGACTAAAGCCAAAGCCTCAATACCTCAAACTGAGAATTTTGATTTGTTACTTGCTGCTAGGGAGACTAAGAACTCTAAGGTATTTATTTGGATTAATAACTATCACTCAGTTTATTGGTATGCAGTTAGCTAAATATGACATAGAAAAGGAAGTTTGGAATCACTTGGAAAGGCTGTATACTCAGTCTAACTTTGCTACACAATACCAGCTGGAATATGATATTCGTGATCTTCATCAAAATGACCAGAGTATTCAAGATTTCTATGCTGCTATGTCTGATCTGTGGGATCAATTAGCTCTTACTGAATCTAAAGAGTTAGAAGAATTGGAGCCTTACATTGTAAAGAGGGAAGAACAACGCTTGGACCAGTTCTTGATGGCCTTGTGTTCTGATTTTGATGGTCTACGTGGAACAATTCTTCATCGCTCTCCTCTTCCCTCAATTGATTTTGTTGTCCATGAGTTAATTCTAGAAGAGACTCATATCAAGTCTCATGTGGATAAAGGGTTTAAATCAACCTCTATTCCTATTCCAACTCCCGCTCCTTTTGTGCTTGTTGTTTCATATAATCAGTATCGACAACCTTCAAGGGTTGCTTATGATGAGTGTGCATTCTACAAACAAAAAAATCATTGGGAAACTCAGTGTCCATTGTTAGTCAACAAGGGTAAATCTAGTCAACCACAATCGGGACAACATAACAGTTCTGGTCAACAGAAGTTTCAGCCACGTTCCTCTGGTACTCCTCCATGGAACCCTCGTCCTCCACAGTTTGCTGTTGCTGCTATACCACCAGTTGATACAGATTATGTTGGAAACACGCCACCATTTGCATTGGATCTAAAGGTGTTTGAGAGTTTCAGACTGTATTAGGCCTCTAATCCCACTTCCATGTCTGCATCTATGTCTCATTCTGGTCCTACTTCATCTAGTAAATCAGGTATTCCCTCATCTTTGTGGGTTTTAGATTATGGTGCAGCCAATCATATGACTCCTCATTTGTCATCATTTACTTTTTTTTTGTAAGTGTCATCTATTTCTTTTAAGTCTGTTAGTGATGCATCTATGCTAGTTGAGGGTGTTGGGTCTATCTCTATTTCTCATATCACTCTCCATGATTTTTATTGCATTCCCAAAATTACTTTGAATCTTGTTTCAGTCAGTTGGGTCTATCTCTATTTCTCATAACAATCTCCATGATGTTTATTGCATTCCCAAACTTACTTTGAATCTTGTTTTAGTCAGTCAGTTATGTATGTCTAGTAACTGGGTGTCTCTTTCTGATTATGTCTGTGTTATACAGGATCAACACACCCACAAAGGTGATTGGGATCGGCCGTAGGGTAGGGGAACTATATGTCTTGGAGGCTCTCAAAGTATCTGATGTCTTTGCCTCCAACATTGATTTATCTTCTTTCCGTTTGAGTCCTTTGTCATCTAAGTTTTATCTTTGGCATTCCCGTTTAGGATACGTGTCTGTATCACCTTTGAGTTTTTTAGCATCTAGTAGTGTTTCGGTTCATTTAGACACAAATGATATTTATGATTGTAGTGGTTGTAAACTGGAAAAATTCTTTGCTTTACCTTTCAATAAAAGCATGACTTGTTCTACTACTCCTTCTGACATTATTCATTCTGATGTATAGGGTCCTACACCTGTATGCTCAAAGGGAGGGTCAACTTATTATGTATCTTTTACAGATGAATATACTCAATATACATGGGTTTATCTTATGAAACGCAGATTTGGTTTCTTTGATATTTAGAGTAATTTGAGAGCTCTTGTTAAAACACAACCTTCAGATGTGATTCAGTGCTTCTAGTATGACTTAGGAGGTGAATATACCTCTAATGATTTTACTCACTTACTTGCTTCTGATGGTACCATACATAAGTCCTCGTGTATTCACACTCTTCTGCAAAATGTTGTGGCAGAACGAAAACGTTGTCATATTGTTGAGACTGCCCGCTCATTGCTCCTATCTGCGCAAGTCCCTAATGCCTTTTAGGGAGAAGTAGCCCTAACTGATGTGTGTGTGATTAATCATATCCCTACTTCGTTGAATTTAGGAATGTCTCCTTTTGAGAAGCTATATGGCCATCCACCATGCTACTCTTCCTTACGAATTTTTGGATGTACTTGTTTTGTTCTTCGTATTCATTTTGAGAGGAATAAGTTCGGGCCGAATCTACTATTTGTGTACTTTTGGAGTATGGTATTGGACAGAAAGGATATCGTTGCCATGATCCTATGAGCTAGAAGTTATATGTTCCCCGGTATGTCACTTTTTTGGAACATATTCCTTTCTAATCGATTCCTACTACAGCCCACAATGTAATGAAGTCTAATCTTCTGCATATTGATCCTTTTAATGAAGAGATAGATGTTGGAGATCTATCTATGCAACCTGATCCTTCAACTCCTGACACACCCACTTCCTCAGAGAGTTCCTTGACTCCCCTTGTTCCTGATCCTACTCCTTCGATTGTTGAAATTGAGTATCCACCTCCATCCCCACCCCTCAGGAGATTTACTCATCCTATCAAGTCCATCAAGCTTCCAAATTTTACTTACTCTACATATTCAGGACTATTTGCTTCATTTATAATAAGTATCCACCATCTGTCTGAACCTGAATCATATAGAGAAGCTATTTTAGACCCTCTTTGGTAGAATGCTATAACTGAGGAACTCACTGCTGATGAAGTATCAGATCGAGGAATGAAATGTAAATAAGAGTAATGAGAATTATGAACACCGAATGTAAATAAGATCTGGTTTTAGCTCATATTATGCTTCAAAGGTTACAAAGTGAAAAATAGACAAGATAGACTTCGTATCTTTATCTAACTCTAAGTAACTACCCAAGTTATAGGAGAACAATAAAGCATACAAAAAATTACAAAGGACTAGACATTAAGATTCGACATACAATGCCTTTGTAAAATAACATTACAACTTCGACATCTTACAACCTAACTTCGACCTTAACAATCTAACCCTTTGTACGCAATGTCAAATTCAGTTAATCAAAAGTTGACCTGCCATGAGTAATGTTCGATAAATCTCAGCATACCAATTCATCACCTTCTTTAGTTCGGCTTTATCACCATCATTGTTCTTTTTACAATTATTCATACGAACAATTAAGTTTGTATAATGAGCAGTTGTATATCTTTCAACTTCACATGTTTAGAAAAAAATACTTCGATGACTTTCCCTTCTTACTTTTACCACCAAAACTACCTTAAATGGCTTCAAACAAGTTTTTTCAATTAACCTTCACTAAACCCTTTTTCCAGAGGAACAATTATTTCTTTTCCAATTGTAGCAGCCAACTCAAAATCGGTCAATGCTAGATAATCATAGTAATTATCTATAAACAGTTTGATATGACCGAAACCCAAATGTAGATCCTCTTTGCTGGTATTTTGAAGTTTTGAAGCATAAATGTCTTTAAGCATGAATCCAACTTGAATCAAGTCATTCAAGTTCATCAAAGGGAAATCAGCAATAGAAAACTCGAAAGGAACCTTATTCGTCCTTAATACATGATATTGATAATTTTGTAGCATATTCTCAAAGAGTTCACGTTTCGAAATGCCGAGTACCTGAGTAATTTTCACCAAAGACCAAACATCCTCCTGATCTTTTCCCAAAACAGCATGAAACCTTAATTTCATGTGTATAAAATCCTTCTTCTTCTTAAATTTCTCCACCACCTTGTACTGTGCGGAAAGAAAAAACATTTCATTGATGAGAAAATCAAGTTGATTTAGATCAAAATTCTCAATAGAATAACCTTTTCTTGGATTTTTCTCAAACTCATACATCTCATTGAAAAATACCACGACTTCGATATTCTCATAACTATGCAGCTTCCTTGGATCTCCTTTATTCAACCGCGGAGGACCATTTTGTCGTTGTCTTAGAACGCTTGTAATCTGTCCTTGTAGATCCATTTCTGCCTCAATCTCAGCCTTTCTTTCTTCATTGGATCTTTCAATAAGAATTTTCTTCCCTCTATCTTGCATTATAGGAGTTTCCTTAGGTTTTGATGTACTTCCTCCTTCACCAACTGAACCAATTACAATTCCTTCCGAAATTGGCCTTGTAGTAACAAAAGTTGAAATTGCTGGCTCAGCTTTCGACATAGTTGGTTTTGATATCGGGATTTGGGTTGTGTATATCTTGCCAATTACCTTCGCTTCTTCATTTATCACACCAGATGCACCTTCTCCTTTACCAACCTTCACCTATTCTCCCCCTTGTACCTGTGTAACAACAGGCGAAACATTCTTTGGTAGGAGACTGACTATTCAAGATAATGGTGCCAATTGTTTTTGGAGAACTGATTCAAACAAAAGAAATTTTGTGATAAAAGTTTTGGTGTGATCAGAGGAGATGATCCAGGATTCGAGATTAAATCTTTTAACTCGTTCAACAGAAGTGCGAATTCAGTTAAGCTTTTACTTTGATGAATAGACATTTGAGCAATCTGAGGATGCAAAGCTTCAGACAACTTAACAAGCTTCATCATTGCATCTGCAATGATGTCTATTTTCTAATTGAGATATGCATAATCCTGTTGGGCAATAGCAATCTCTTTAGACATATCTTCTAGAAGTTCTTGAAGTTTCAAGTTCACATCTTCCTGAAACTTCTTCACATTTTGAACGAATAACACATGATGTTCCTTGGCAACACGTTTAAAATCTCTGACTTCCTCATTGCAATTTGAAGACTATGACTTCACCCTTAGCTCATTATTTTTTATTATTACCATCCACCTTCTCAAGAATTCGAGATTCAGAGACTTGAATCAGGCCAGAGAATGTGTTGCACAATCTAACTTCTTGTGCTTTGAGCATCACAACAATTTCGACACTGGACACAAAATCCGCTTGAGATTGAAGGATACAGTTAAGCTTCTTGTTTAAAATCTTGAATTGCTTCCCTAACATCAAAATGTGATCTAGGATGTCTTCTTCTTCTGATCAAATTCAAGATCATCAAAAGTACCTCCAAACCCTCCATCATCAGTCTCAGTGTCATCAATGGATTTGAGTGGATTAGTGGATTGTGAAGAAAATAATGAAGTGAGGGGTTTATTGAGAATATGAGTAAACGTTGGTGAAGAGGAGACTGGAATTATAGGAATAATAAATGGTGGTAAGTAAAAAAGGGTATTGATAGTAATAGTGTTGATAATATCGTGAGTTATCATGGGATGTTCTTTATTCGAATCTCTTTCACCCATAGTGACATTTACATCCGTATCAGATATGTGTGTAAGAATGCCTGAGGCTCGAACCTCCTCATGAAATGACTTGGTTAACGAAACCTCGGGTGGTATAACTGGAGTCTGCTCAGGAGTCGAAATGTGTTTTGAAATAAAAGCTACAGGAGTTTTGGTAATTTATTCATTGTTTGAAGACACTTTTTGGAAGAACCAATTTTCTCTTTTTAATCTTCTTAGAGATATGTTTGTCCATATCGGTAGCTCTTCGTTTCTTTGAGGTAGGGGACACAAGAGCTTGAACTTCGTGAATAATAACCCCTTTTTGAGTGACATGTGGCTTGCGTGTGAAGAATGGAGAAAAACTTGAAGACCTTTCTGGAGACTTTCGGGAAGGATGAGCTTTCTTCTTGATTCTTTTAAGTACACCAAAATTTAAAGGAATAGTTTCAGTATGAGTATCAACAATTGTAGTCTCAACAGGCTTAGTAGTAGTTTTGGAAAGTTGCACAATGTGCTTAGTAGTCGACTTATCATCTTTCTTGGTTCCTTGAGATTTATTTGAAGAATCCTCATTTGGTTTGGCCAACAAAACACCTGTTTCATCATTGGGATTAATCAAAGCCAAATATGTCATCAAAATAAGATTAGTTGGATCAACACGCTTGAGCATAGTGTCTGGAATTCGTGCAACATTTGGAAACACGTCTGCATCATCCTTAACCTCCTTCGGAAAGTTGTATTTCAAAAACTCAAATGTTTGTTCATTAGTAGGGACCTCATTCCCTTCCTTTTCATACATAAAATGAAGAATTAAGTTGCAGTAGCATGCAAAGTAATCCCTTGTACCACATTTGTATTCTCCACACTATACAAAAACTCTTTCCACATTTGAGTCGAGAAATCAACAACAAGATCATAATAAATCCCGACAACCATGATATAGACTTTCATTCTGCCTTTGTCTAATCCAACACTCCGACCACTAAGACATCGGAAAAAGATACCAAAAAGAAAATTCTAGATAGAAGGAAGACTAGCCTTCTTGAACTAGTTGAACTTTGTAAGTGGGGGTTGATGACCTATCTCGTTGAACATATGAATGACTTGATAATTTGAGAGAGCACGGTATGGTGGAGAATTAGGAATATCAAGAATTGGATAAAACAACTTCTTGGTAAGACGAACCTTCTTGTCATTCACCAAGTTGAAAGTAATTACATCAAGAGATTTATTGTACGTTGCTATAGATCCTGGTAGAGATAGCCACGAGAATGGAATATCAGAAGAGTTGAACATCGAAGTAGAAAACAAATAGTGTTTTATGGTTACAATTAACATTTGTAGTGCTTCAGGGTACACAGAAACATCATCCTCGACTTGATAGTCTGTGCTCTGGATTTTCACAATAGGTTGTGAATAAACATCTTCAGTAGTTTGTGATGGTTCATTATCTAGAGCAGGATTTTCCATGATTAGGGTTTGAAGCTTGAGGAATGAACAAAGAAATCTTTGTTAATTTGGGAGTTTTTCTTTCAGAAAGCGTAACTGAATAAAGAACTCTTGAAACCCCTTTTATATGTAACTCTTGAATTTGAATATGAAGCAGAATCAACATTAAATGAAATCGTATGCGGCACCTTGAAAATCACACCCTCATGCCGATAAACTAGACATGCGAGATAAAGTAACCATCACATCTCCATGAAACCCAGAATGAATACAAAGTGTCTTGTCAAACAGCCTATTTGCACACTCCAATTGAATAGTAACCGCCACAAACCTTCGTTATGGAAGTAAGGCTCTTTCACTTTTAGGATAAAAAGCTAAGTCATGTGCCAGATTGTTGAAACCATTTGCCTGAGTTGGTAATACTCAGAACCTCAAGGATTTCGTGAGTGCAGTGTGTCAAAAAAATGATATAAGAAGCAAACAAATAAAATTTGGATATGTGATGTCAAAACATAAATGTTCGACATCAAAACAGATAAACCCCATGTAACGCCCCAATTCTGGTATGTATTTAAATATCTAATTTTTTCAAGTTTTCAAGAGGAACTCAATGAGTCAGTAGCCCGACTCATCGAGTAGAGACAGGATAAACACGTGTTTGGATCCGGCTACTCGGCAAGTCCATATGCTTGGACTCGGCGAGTCCGCCAGTCTGGATGAAACCCTAAACCTAAGGGTTTGCACCTTACATAAACAACTTTTTGTGCACTAATCAACCTCCCTCACCCACAGAGAGTTCTATACTAAAGCCCTAGTTGTTCCTTATCATTTTTGGTGTGATTTCTCATATTGTGCAAGTTATTGGTGCATTTAAAGCTAGAAGAAGAGAAGAGAAGCGGAGGAATCAAGGGGGAGCAAAGTAGATCCGATTTCCTTGTTGCATTACAGTCTTCTATGAGATATCAAGCTCAAACCTTTGTCCTTCTTCAATCACATCTCTTATTTGGCTTGTTTTGCCATTTTTTGGCTTGGTAGTAGTATGAAGAACATGTGGTGATGAATAGCCATCAGATCTACCCATGTCTGAGCTCTAGAAGCTCAAATCTACTGCCTTTATGGGACCATTCTTGCATAAAAAGCCCAAGATCTACACTTTTGGTCCCTTTAGAGCCTTTAAACCTTCATTGCTGCATATACACACGTAAAGTTGGAAACTTTACGTTTGAAACAAGCCGTAGGAACCCAGATCTATAAGTTGAATGCAATGGAATTGATCAGAATCGACTATATAGTGTTTGCATGGAGGCGCATTGGCAAGTTGTTCTTCAAACTCGGCGAGTTGAGTCACGAGTCCCTAATTTTTTCCCTTTTGAGTTATGTCGAGTGGAACCAATGAGTTGGAGGTGGACTCAGTGAGTCGGATGTCAGACTCAACAATGGAGGGACTCGATGAGTCAATACCCTGACTCGGGGAGTCTAGGGCAATAATCTTGCCTCAAGAACAGACTCGATGAGTTGTTCATACTACTTGGCAAGTCACAGGCTAGAATGCTCTTATGATGAAGGAGAACTCGACGAGTTGTTCATACAAATTCGTGAGTCAGATGAAGATAGACTATTTATTAGTATCGAAGAGGAACTCGTTGAGTCTATGCCAAACTCGATGAGTATTAGCAGGCAAGAATAAGAAATAAGAGTAGGGACTCGATGAGTTAGCGGCCCAATTCGACGAGTCGGGTCAACTGTATGTTGACTTTGACCAGGAGGCTGACTTCGGGCATGCGGAGCTCCAAATTATCATGGGGCGCGGGACCCCATTGCGAGTACTAGATGGTTGGCAGATGTGTCCAATGCATTCCGCACTAGTAGATGTCCCAAGGGGGACAAGGTCAGATTAGCATCCTATCTTCTGAAGGACAGGGCACGAGATTGGTGGGAGGAGATTGGGCATGTCATCGGGGATGACACAACATTTGATGCTATTACTTAGGTTGATTTTACTACCAGGTTCAGAACCAAGTTTGCACTGGTCATTGAGGTGCAACAGTTAGCCAGGGAGTTTCAGGATCTTACTCAGACTATAGAGACGGTGGCGGAGATTACCGCCAAGTTCAGGGAAACGGCCCTTCTCGTTCCTCAATACACAAATGATGAGGAAATGAAAAAGGCCCAATATCATGAGATGTTGCGGAGTGATATCTGCTAGTTTGTGAGCCGGTCCAACTGTAAAATGCTGGATGAAATGATTGCTAGGGCTCATGAGAGAGAGATTGACCTTGAGACGGAGAGAAAGAGGAAGCCGGAGGTGGCTTCGGGTATCGGGAGTTCGGGCAAGAAGCCCAAGGTTTTAGATCCCATATCCAGAGGTCAGCAGAGCCACGGTTGGTGTGGCAAGTGTGGGAGATTGCACGATGGGGCGTGTAAGGCAGGGAGTTCCGGCTACTACAAGTACGGTCGGACTAGGCATATGAGAAAAGATTGTACAACTTCTACCACCTCCACTGCAGCATCAGATCTGATTTGCTTCCATTGCAATTAAAGCGGACATAAAAAGTCCCAATGTCTGAGTTTGACAGCAGCAGCAGTAGGGAAAGTGGTAGCACCTACCCCTGCAACATTGAGGATTACAGATGGTCGTCAGGGCCGAAGTGAGGCACCGGTGGCGAAGAGTAAAGCTTTTCAGATGACAACAGAAAAGGCGCGAGCGACTCCTGATGTGGTAACAGGTATGTATTCCTTTCATCCCTTTAGTATTGTTGATTGTTGATTGTTCTTATAGTTTTGTGTTTCTATATATAGGGTTGTTCTTAGTGAACGGCATATCAGCTACAGTCTTGTTTCATTCAGGGGTTACCCAATCGTTTGTTTCGCTTGCGCTTAGCAAGAGGTTTAGCAGAGCTCCGGGGGAGCTGGATTGTCCACTCGAGGTGGAGATAGCCGATGATAGAACCATCAGGGTCATGAGGGTGCATAAGGCATGCTCGTTGCAGTTATTCGATGAGCAGTTTTCGGTGGACCTGTTCCCTATTCCTTTGCGAGGGAACAAGTTCACAGTAAGCATGGATTGGTTGAGCCCCAATGGGGCGGTGATTGATTGTGAGTTGAAGCTAGTGAGGGTTCGCACTCCCAGCAGGGGAGAGTTAGTGATTCAGGGCAAGAGGCCACAACGTGGACCGATTCTTTGTTCAGCAGCGAGAGTGAGGCGCTACTTCCAGCAGGGTTGCGCAGGTTATGTTGCATATGTGATGGATATCTGGGATAAGGGTACGTTGACAGTAGATGATGTAGCAGTGGTGCGTGAGTACCCAGATGTGTTCCCAAATGAATTGCCTCGGATACCTCCGGAGAGACAAGTTGAGTTCAGTATTGACCCTGGTTCCTAGTGCGGCACCGATAGCCAACGCACAATATCGATTGGCTCCTCCTGAGATGAAGGAGTTGTCTACACAGCTTCAGGAGCTGTTAGACAAGTGTTTCATCAAACCGATTAGTTCGCCATGGGGAGCCCCGATCCTGTTTGTGAAGAAGAAGCATGGGTCGCACCGTATGTGCATAGATTACCGGGAATTGAACAAGGTAATGGTGAAGAAGCATTTCCCACTCCCGAGGATAGATGACTTGTTCGATCAGCTTCAGGGAGCATCTTGGTTTCCCAAGATTGATCTGCACTCCAGGTATCATCAGATGCAGGTCAGGGGTAAGGATGTTCAGAAGATGGCTTTTAGGACACATTATGGTCATTATGAGTTTGTGGTGATGTCGTTTGGGCTCACCAATGCTCCAGCCGCGTTCATGGACCTCATGAAACGTGTGTATAGCTCGTTGTTGTATCGGTCTGTGATTGTATTCATCGATGACATCTTGGTTTATTCCAAGACTGAGGAGCAGCACAAGGAGCACCTGAGGCGGGTACTAGAGGTCTTGAGGAGGGAGAAACTTTTTGCGAAGTTCTCCAAGTGCGAGTTCTGGTTGCACGAGGTGCAGTTCCTTGGGCACCTCGTCAACCAGAAGGGTATACTGGTAGATCCGACCAAGATAGAGGTCGTGATGTAGTGGGAGGTCCCCAAGTCTCCATTAGAGATTCGGAGCTTCCTAGGTTTGGCAGGGTACTACAGGAGATTCATCCAGGATTTCTCCAAGATATCAGTACCACTCACCTGACTGACCAAGAAGTCGGTGGTGTTTCGTTGGGGGATTGAGCAGTAGGCGGCATTTGAGACC